TCGATACGCTCAAGAAGTACGGCCAACAGATCGGTATGAATATCAACGAAACCCATCTGTCGCGTCAAAATGGGTTACCAGAGGGGACTCCTCAAGGTATGCGCCACTGACTCCCCTGTCCTCCCGTGTCTCCCCGTCCTCCCTGTCCTTCTGTTTATGTCTTATGTCTTGTTTTACAGGAGAAGCTCTTCGATAGGGCCGAAGAGAAGTACGGATTCGTGAATCTGTTCGTCTTCTTAGGCATCGAATCAGACGAATGCTATTATGAGATGAAGAAGTGCGGAGACATCGACATCGGACCACTCAATGCATTCGTAAGCATAACGTCTTGAGAATGAATCAGTCTTTGGCCACAAATATACTGCTGAAGATTAACACGAAGATGGGCGGAGACAAGCTATGTTTAGCCACTTTGCCTCCCATTGTGGGCAACAAACGGGTGGTTGTTATCGGTGCAGATGTGGCCCATCCGTGGCCTTCAGACAAACTCTGCGCTTCTGTGGCGGCCGTCGTCGGCAATATCGACGCCAATTGTATGAAACACTACGCGACTGTCAAAGTCCAGCACCGGTATCGCGAAGAGATCATCAATGAATTGAATGTTTTGGTGAATGAGATACTCCGCGAATGAGATCATCTTCTATAGGGATGGCGTCAGCGAAGGCCAGTTCATGTATGTCATGGACTTCGAGATCAGCAAAATAAAGCTCGCCTTCCAGTCCCTCGGCGTCGGCTGTAACCCGTTCATTGTGGTCCAGAAGAGACACCACACGAGGTACTCCTGATTGCCATTTGTTTGCCATACAGTTCTGTACGACGAGAACAAGTTCGGTGCGGACCAACTGCATGAGCTCACGTACTACCTGTACTACCTGTGCCACACGTACGCCCGGTGCACCCGAAGCGTGTCGATCCCTTCGTGTATATATTACGCCCATTTGGCGGCACATCGAGCGCGCGGTCACATCAATGGTTCGAGCGGTCACTCGGATTCGGGGTCTTCGGGCGGAAGTCCTAACATGCGATGGTCTAAGAGAGTGGTTCCCAACACCTCTTTATCTCATTCTTTCAATTATTACTAAATTTTTGCCAAAAATATTGTTTTTATCGCTTTTTATTGCCATTTGAGTTATAATTGATGACTAAATTCTTGTTTTTTTTGTTTAAAATATTTATTTTATTAAATGAAATCTATTTTTAATTTATAGATACAAATATTTATTGAGAGAATTGTATTTTAAAATTTTTATACTAAAATAAACATTTTATTTATTAATTTTGTTGAGTTTTTACTTTTACAACTTTTGCCGCCAAAAAATAAATAATTTAACTTATTTTTTAGTTTTGTTAATTATAATTAGATAATTTAAATGTTTGTCATAACATACTCTCTCTCTCTCTCTCTCTCTCTCTCGAGATTTAATTAATTCAAAGAAATACAGAATTATTAATTTTATTGATAATTAAATAAAAATTTCAATTTAAAAATCATTTAAACAAATAATGAATTGTCAATCGATAGGACAGCAGATCTCGAACTCAGAGGTTATGTGTCTTAACATCGATGTCCGCAATGATTCCGTTCCCAAGAATACGAAAGTCTTCGACAATCGCCGCCAGATTTGT